GACAGAGCTGATGTTAAGAGGCCTGAAGATAATTTGAGACCGGAAGGACCCTTCGAAGGACGACCCAAGGACGATTATAAACCGACTAGAGGTGACAGAGCCGATGTTAAGAGGCCTGAAGACAATCTGAGACCAGAGGGACCGTTCGAAGGACGTCCAAAGGACGATTTCTTACCGAAAACAGCGGAAAGACCAGAAGTCAGGAAGCCTCAAGATAATTTGAGACCGGAAGGACCATTCGAAGGACGACCCAAGGACGATTATAAACCGACCAGAGGTGACAGAGCTGACGTTAAGAGACCTGAAGATAATTTGAGACCAGAGGGACCGTTCGAGGGACGTCCAAAGGACGATTTCTTACCGAAAACAGCGGAAAGACCAGAAGTAAGGAAGCCTCAAGATAATTTGAGACCGGAAGGACCATTCGAAGGACGACCCAAGGACGATTATAAACCGACCAGAGGCGACAGAGCTGACGTTAAGAGGCTTGAAGATAATTTGAGACCGGAAGGACCCTTCGAAGGACGCCCCAAGGACGATTATAAACCGACTAGAGGTGACAGAGCTGATGTTAAGAGGCCTGAAGACAATTTGAGACCAGAGGGACCGTTCGAAGGACGTCCAAAGGACGATTTCTTACCGAAAACCGCGGAAAGACCAGAAGTGAGGAAGCCTCAAGATAATTTGAGACCGGAAGGACTCTTCGAAGGACGTCCCAAGGACGATTATAAACCAACCAGAGGCGACAGAGCTGATGTTAAGAGGCCTGAGGACAATCTGAGACCAGAGGGACCGTTCGAAGGACGTCCAAAGGACGATTTCTTACCGAAAACAGCGGAAAGACCAGAAGTGAGGAAGCCTCAAGATAATTTGAGACCGGAAGGACCGTTTGAAGGACGTCCCAAGGACGATTTTACACCGAAACGAGCTGAAAGACCGGAAGTTCGACGACCCGAGGATAATCTAAGACCGGAGGGACCGTTCGAGGCAAGGCCCAAGGACGATTATAAGCCAACGAGAGGAGAAAGGGCCGATGTGAAACGTCCCGAGGACAATCTGAGACCCGAAGGACCATTCGAGGGTCGACCTAAAGACGACTTTATGCCGAAAACGGCGGAGAGGCCGGAAGTGAGGAAGCCACAGGACAATCTGAGACCGGAGGGTCCATTCGAGGGTCGTCCGAAGCACGATTTCACACCGAAAACTGCCGAACGACTCGAGGTCAAACGACCGCAGGACAATCTTAGACCCGAAGGACAGTTCGAGGACCGTCCCAGGGATGAATACACGCCCGGTGAGAGACGTACACCGATCAGACATCCGGATAACTTGTACCCCGAAGGAGAATTCGATAGGCCGAGGCACGTGCCGTATGGGCCCGGCGAACGAGCGCCGATTGTGCGACATCCGGACAATCTGTTCCCCGAGGGCGACTTTCCAGACAGGGAACGTGCTCCGTTCATGCCAGCGGAACGGAGAACGCCCATCAAACACGACGACAACCTCCGTCCCGAAGGACCGTTCGAAGGTAGGCCGAAGGATGATTTTACGCCGAAAACTGCGGAAAGACCAGAAGTAAGGAAGCCTCAAGATAATTTGAGACCAGAAGGACCGTTCGAAGGTCGTCCTAAGGACGACTACACACCAACCAGAGGAGAAAGAGCCGATGTGAAGAGGCCTGAAGACAATCTGAGACCAGAGGGACCGTTCGAAGGACGTCCAAAGGA